AGTATTTACTTTTTTTTAACCTTTTTTTTTGGGGGGGGGGACTCTTTTTGCAGTATTACTGAATTTTTTTCCCTCAAATCAGGATGGAAACAGAAACTTTTCCAGGTGGTGTTAATAAACCACTCAAGTGCCTTAAACAACTTTAAACAAGACTAGAACTGCTGGGCCTGCAATGGATTCTGGTAGGCATGTTGAAGTTTTTACAAAAGCAGGATGTTTTGTTGGGGAGGCATGCCTTTGACTACAAATCTTTCTAGAAGGATTCTTCCTGCCTCTTTGTGATGCTGTGTGTCCCCAGGAGCCTCCCTAAGATAAGTGGCAGGAGCCGTGGCTGCCAAGTGGCAGTGGTGGGGCTCAGACAGCAGGGCTCCAGGCATCTGGGTGGCTGGGCCCCGTCAGCCTCACTCACCCCCTTGGCCCCGCCACTCTGGCTAGATCCCAGGCAGAGGAACCTTGCTTCTGTTTGGCTGGAACATTCCCGAATGTCTTTTGTACTGATAATCAAATTGGTTTTATTGGGAAAGATGCTTGATTAAGAGGCTCTGGCAAGACCAGAGGCAGCCTTTGGGTCTCTGGCTTTGTCTGGAGGCAGCAGGGATGCTGCTGGGTGTCTGATGGCACAGGCCACAGCCCCTCATCTGGCCCCATGGCTCACGGCCTCCCCTGCCTTGCTCTGCCCCGTAATTGAGGAGTCTCCACATTCCTTAGTGCACCCTGGGACGGCGAGGCTCACGAGCAGCCATGCTTGGGTGCCTCAGGGCGCTCACATAGCTTATGTAGGGTCAAAAGTGGCATGGCTTGGCAAGAGTGCCAGGCAGAGGGCAGGGGTGCCGGGGGTGAGGAAGGGGGACTCAGGAGGGACTCGGGAGCAACCTCCCTGGGGAAGGACCAAGCAATGGGAAGTGCTACTCCAGGCAAAGGCCAGCAGGTCCAAGAAGGGTGTGTGTGGCTTAGCCAAGGCTTTGGTAAGGAGAGGGGGAAGACTGGGTGTTGGGGGGGAGCTTGGCAGTGAGGGCCTTGTGGTGGCCTTCAGAGTCTGCCTGTAGGCTGTGGGGCCCAGGGAGGTCTGCACAGCTGCACCCTAAGGATTCTTCCTGCCTCTTTGTGATGCTGTGTGTCCCCAGGAGCCTCCCTAAGATAAGTGGCAGGAGCCGTGGCTGCCAAGTGGCAGTGGTGGGGCTCAGACAGCAGGGCTCCAGGCATCTGGGTGGCTGGGCCCCGCCAGCCTCACTCAC